CCCCCCCCCCCCCCGCCACTTACCGTCGTCCTGACGAACTGGAAGAGCAAGGACACCCTGTCATTGAGCCAGAAGCGGCGCGCGATGGTACCACCTCCCGCCAGTCGGAACTGCACCTGGGTCACCTGGTTCCCGTTAGCGGCAGCATACAAAAGCACCAAGAGAGGGGGAAAAAACGAGAGCAAGACACGAGAGCAACAGAGAGCGAGAGAGAGAGCAAGAGAGGAATATAGAGGGTAGCAGCGGTAAGGTCGTGGTGAAAACAACGTGTCTGGCGCGCGAGGCACATCTATTCTCCAACCACTTTGACTAGCAGGTGCGCAGTTGACCTTGAAGAGCGGAATCAACCCGACGTCCATCGACGAACACTACCTCCTCTTCGGTGCCCCAACACCTTCGCGTGCTACGGTACAGCACAGCAGCAACCACATCAGCAACACATCATCCAAGCATGGGGAAACGGCTCGCCTTTTCTCTCGGAACGAAATCATCCGCTTCTACTCCCTCCTCCCGCCCCGCCCCGCCCCGCCCCGCAAGCGCTCTCACCATCAGACACGACCGAACCTTGTGTGCCCCACCGGTCCTTCCTCGAAGCTTTGGTCGACGCCGCTTGGTTCCCGCAATGTTTCTNCGAACCAACCACACACTTGTCAGCCGGCTAGCGCGGTCGATGCAAAAAAACACACGAGCAGCGGACCAGTCTACTCACTCACCCCGTTCCCTGCATCAGGCTCCTGCGGCACGTCTACAGGCTCGCCCAAGACCCCCTGCCCCGCCCCCTCAGCCCGCAGCTCGTCCTCCGGCGTCCCTCGCCCCCAAGGCCCGACCAACCCGGCTCCAGCAGCCGCACCAATCGCACCCGTCCCTCCAGGGGGGGGGGGCTCCGCCTTTGCTGCCTTCCCGTCACCCCCTCCTCCCGTTGCTGCCGCCGCCGAGGGCCGGCTCGGGGAGGATCGCCCCGATCCCGCGACGGTGAGGGGCGAGGGGGAGGAGGAGCAGGTGGTGGCGGGGGGCGACGGCTTGGCGTTGGGGGTGTTCTGAGGGTGATACCCGGGAGAGGCGTGGGAGTTGGCGGTGCTGTTGTCGTCCCCATCGAAGCTTGACCCCTGGCGGCGTTGAAGGAGAAGCGAGAGGTTCGTGTCTTCGTCGATGTCGCGGGAGCGATATATACAAATCTGTCTTGTATGTCCAAGGCGGTGCCAACACATGCACCTAAGCCACACAGCTCCTGTGCTACCCCGGGTGATCCGTGAAAACGTACCTACATCGAGAGTTTTTTAGACCCTCGTCAAAACAAGTGGGACGCACGCACACATGCATAGCTTGCACCAACACCCGGCAAGCAAAAGCACTACTACTTCTTTGTCATGTGAAGACAACAACAACAACAACAACCTGCACCTCAGCCATTTCCACACAAAAGCACACACGGCCGCGTGGATCGCCTTCGCGAGAAATTAAGGTTTCGAGGAAACAGGACAGGAAGGGGGTACGCATACCCTATATCCCAAACCCTAACCTAACTTCACCGATTGCATGCTCTATCCAACATGTTTCCTTAATAGACAAGCGTGGGAAAGAAACAGGTAGTCATACCTGACCGAGGTCGTCATCGTCTTCGTACACGTACTCCTCGCTGCCGTACGACTCGTACGCTGAGTCTCTCGAGAGCGAGGCGTCCCCCCTCCCCCCCCGGCCGCCGCTGTACATGCCGACGCTGTTGTCGGGGCTCGTCCTCTCCGACACGCCTCCTCCGTCCTTCCCAGGCGTTTGGTTGTACCCGTGAACAACAAGTTTGGTGCGTTAACTAAGGGTGTTTAGTGGGGGGGGGCAGGAAGCCAAAAACTGTGCTGCGACAACCCCAAGCAAATGCTGTTTTTTTGGGGAGGGCGGACGTCATACATGTGCGTACGTGAAAAAGAGCGCCTCTCTTCTCCGGCAGGAGGAGGGAAAAAACACATCGTTCTGCAGTGGTCAACAGCAAAATGACAACCTAAAAGGGCGAGAGAGGGGGGAAGGAAGCGAGAGAAAGAGAAAAAAAATAGAGAGAGGGAACGGGGGGGGGG